ACAAGGGACAGAAGAAGCATTTATTCCTTTATTTTCATTGACAATTGGGATGATGATCATCCATGGTTATTCATCTCTTCTTGAGCACTACTGTAAAATCTAACAGTTGTATTCATGAGAACACAAGGATAGAGAAATAAAGTTCAGAGACAGGATTGCGATTGTTTATCGCAGCAATTAGGGCTGCGATCGATGTTCAGAGATGAAAGGCACGATTAGGTTCAGAGATGGGTGAGCGAGAAGACATGGCAGAGACGGGAGCGAAGGTTTAAGAGACGGGAGCGATGGATTCTCTCGTTTTCCGTCCAAAATCGGGAGGAAAATGATTTTGCCCTTTTTTAATTCATTTTCTCCCCACTTTTCTTTTCCTCTCACTTTTCCTTTCTTTTTCTCACTAACCAAACATAAAAAAACATTTCCCTCCTATTTTCTTTTCTTTTCCCAACCAAAATCCTTGAACCAAACATAGTGATAATGTACCAAATAGTCAGCCCTAGACATCTCTCAAGTCTCAAGATCCAGATTTAACGCAACATTTGAGCAAAAACAATTTGAGATTTGAAGGGAAATCACATGCAATGTGATACCAAAAGGGAAACTCCACTTTAGGCATCCATGGGATAGGTATATGCATTTAACAGTTGTTCTCCCATGGATTTTGAAATGTGGAACACTTAGCATCATTAACACTACGTTTGGCTCAAGGATTTTGGAAGAAAAAGAAAAGAAAATGGTTTTCTCTCATTTTCCTCACCAAAATGGAAGGAATTTGATTTTCCCTCCACTTGGTACAGTTTGCCTCCCCATTTTCTTTTCCTTCCACTTTTCCTTTCTTTTTCCCTCTAACCAAACAAGAAAAATGGTTTTCCACTTCATTTTCTTTTCTTTTCCCTTTCAAATTCCTTGAACCAAACATAGTGTAAATGCGTTTTGTCAAAAAATTTCAAGGGAATCCCAAGTCCCAACATCAAAATGTCATCCCAAAATTACAATTATTTTTAGATCCCAATAAAAAAATATTTTCCATGCCAACAATTTACGCTCTTTTGTTCCTTTATATCTTGGTTTTCCATGTCATCGTGTTTTTTTTGAAAATTTTATAAAATTTTATTGTCTCGTACTCAACTCCATGTACCTTTTCTTATCAATTATTAGTGTGTTCGACTATATTAGGCAACAGTACAATTTTTCCAAAGCAATGCAAGATTGTCATGCCTATAACATACGAAAAGAAATGCAAGATTGGCAGAAAAAAAAAACACCAAAATTCTTACCAGCCTCCATGCCTTGAGAAGTAATCGTTATCCAGCGATATAGCAAGTGCAAGAGCTACTGCTCGCTCCGAGAGGATTAGTGGACGAACTACGTCTAACTCTTGAATCTACAATGAAGAGCAAAAGACATCATTTGAAAATTGACTATGGACAATAAATTACAAACGCTGAACATTCGTAAGATGTTTTTTTACCCCTCCAACTGGAGCAATACTTGATCCAGCTTTACCAAATTGAATCACATACTGGCCCGCATCAGTGAAAATCTGCAATGCACATCATATTGTCAACAGGTTTCTTGATTTTTATAATATGTTAGATCACTTGAGGAGAAGGTCTAATTGTTGCACTTTAATACCATACAAACATCAGCAATAAGAATAACAATATACGTTGTGCCCAATATAAACAATGCAACATATAAATTTTTTGAAGGTTTTTCAACCAAAGCCATGCAGGGAAAAAGGAAGAACGTCGAAGTAATCAGTCAATTTTGCTAAATCAAGTAAACAACTAAGAGTAGAGAGTAACCTCAAAACCAAACCCCCTCCAGTCACGATCTATCTGGGCCAACACTTTCCCATCAATATCCTTTAATGTAAATGTCCAGTTCCAAAAGCCAGGGTTCTCAACCACAGCAAACTGCTTGTCCCTGCAACACAATAGACCATTTTTATTAGAGCTATTTTAATAAAATGAACCAGAAATTTAATCATAATTAGTTCAACAACCTGGATGTCAATCACCACAACGACACATGCATATTATGGTGCATTAAAAAGCACTAGTTTAGACTAAACCAACCAAACAAAAGTTTTTCTTTAGACAACCAAACAAGAGTAATATCTTATGGTAGATTTGCACACTCCTAAAATCTCTTGAAAAGTTATAGATCTGAAGTTTGGTATTAAAAATATATAACTTATAGCAGGAGGTTAGTTAGGTCAAAATGTTAGTTGTTGTTATGAACTTGTTAGAAAGTTAGCTGATATTCTGAATATACACATGTGTGTCCCTTGCATCGTAAAATGAAACGAAAACAAGATAAACAGCTCTTTCCTCCCCATTTCCTTCATGGTATAAGAGCCACAAACTATGGCCTGGTTTTTGTCCCTTTCAGCACAATGAACTGCATGCATACTGTTCACCAGTACAAACATTCAACTAATTTCCCTGAATCCTTTTCTTTTTCGGAAATTGAAGCCTCCAATTTATTCTTCTGCACCCGGTGAAGGTTGTTAAGCTGTTCATGGTACTGCCACTGCTGCCGCTACTTCACTGTTGCTCCGAAATCATGCTCTGATGCATGTGGTTATATCCAGCAAAATTGTTTGGCAACGTTCTCCAGATTTCTTCTATAGCATATCTCAACTACACTTATGTAGTAATGTGATTTCATTTTTGTGGCAATGATGTTGTTACTTTTCGGTTAGGGGTAAGGTCTGCATACATACACCCTCCCTAATGGGTTGATTCCGTTGCATTATAGTGTATGGGTCAAGGTGTATATGATCACCTGTGAAACAAGATAGTTGATATACCAGAAAGGATAAGACAGTTTAGCATGGGAGAGGATTCATGCCCAATTATGCAGCTAATTATGGCAATCTCACTCTCATCAAAACTGGCTTCCCTTTTCACGCCTTTTAAAACACATACGGAGTATTATAGTATGAAAGCAAGCAGACTTATTGTATACTAACAACCTATGAACTCACTTGATCACACGAAAACAATGGGAACATGTGGCAGACACGCCACGTGGCATTTCTTTGACAAGACACGTCAGATGCGATTAAATGCTTTAGACGGTCGGGATTTTGGGCATGCACTGTTTACGAGTTTATATTTATCCACAAGAAATTAAAAGATAGGGAGTAAATTCTTAGTTTTTTGGTCTTTTGTTATCTATTTTAGAAAAGATATTACATTTAGTAATGTCGAGAGCACTTGCGGAGTTATGGGATGAGGCATAAATGACTTGCAGCAGTTAAAGGCGGTGATGGTGGTCAACCCGGCAACGTGGTAGATGATGGTGCTCAACGGCAATCTCGAAAACAGCAGTGGTCAACTTTAGTCAATGTTGGGAATGGTCGGCAATGATGGTGGTGGGTGGTAGTTGCCAATAGTAGCAGTTGTCAGCAATGGCATGGTTTTCAGAGAAACCCGACCAAACAATGACCCATAATGTGAAAGGGTGAAATACAGACACACACACACACACACATCTACATCGCTAACACAGTCACAAGGACTCTAGAGCACTAATACAGTCTCCAAGAAGGCAAAAACTTCTATTGGAGGTCATGGCATATGAGAGGTTTAAGACCACCAAATCCTACCTCCACTACACTGGGTAAACATATAGAGAAATATTATTAAGTGTGGTGGATTGAGATATTAAAAGCCCTTTTCAGATCAAGTACTTGCACGACTTCTGAGAGCGAGGGAGAATAAAAACTAGAAACTGATATGTGGCTATCACTGGAAGAAACCACAACTTAAAGGTTTCATGCAATCGAGAGTCGAAGCTATCAAACAATTTGTCAAAGTTAAAATTAGTGTTTGATTCTAGAAGAGTTGGTTATAGCCAATAAGAAATTCAAAAGGATTTTACCCCAAATACAGATCATAAATTCTCCTCCACAGATGCCATCTTCTGTGGACTACACCTATTTCCTGAAAACCCCAACATAGTACCATAAAACTGCTTTTAAATTAAGATCACCATAAATTTTTAATGAGAGGTGATAGAAAAAGGAAACTTTCAATAGATGGACTAGAAATAGCATACTTTTCCATTGATCTCGGCATAGATGGAGCTAGTAATCCACCAAAAAGGCCTTCTTACCTGATTGTAATACAAAAGAAACGTAAATTACAAATTCAGCATTTAGAATATTCATAGCTGAGCATTGCAACAGCTCGTGTATCTCCGACGAACGCTCCCTACCTTGTACAGGTAAGATCTGCCTACACTCACCTCCCCTGACCCCATGCGTGGGATTCTACTAGGCTGGTTGTTGTTGTATAGCCGAGGTGTGGGATTTTACTAGGTTGGTTGTTGTTGCATACTTGCATAGTTGAGCACTGAACGATATTCAATATAATAGAAGCACATTACACTCCCAGAGACCAAGACCCCACCGGAATTGGAACTAAACTGGGTTGTTGGCGATGTTGGCAGTGTTGTTGTATATTAGCTGTATTATTATATAAGAACCATTCATGGGCCTACAATCACAAGGTTGAGCTGGTTCCTTGACATGGTACTAGAGACTTGTTGACCAAGAGATCACAAGTTCGAAACTCAGCGCCACCCAATTTAAAAATAAATAAGGTTTCCCATGCAAGGCTCGAAGCGACCACCCATGAACGTGAGGAATGTGTTAGAAACTTAAAAAGTTTCCTCGGCCTAAAACCACAAGCTTGAGCTTGTGGTTATGTTGGCCCCTTGACAAGCTCATAATATTCATATGTGAAGAAAAAAGGTATATTAGAATCCTTACCCTAAAAAGCTCATTACCCAAGCCATCAGTTATACTTGCCACAAAAGGGCGTCTGAGTCGGAGCAACTGCACCATAGCAAACACATCAATCATGTACAAGAATAAAAAGGGCTATATCATGTACAAAAAGGAAACCCTACATGTGTTAATTGTTAGATGTGACTGACTATCATCCCTCCCCAGACACACATACACACACACACATATATATATGCATTTTTATGTGTCTATATATATAAAGAGAGAGATAGAGAGAGAGAGAGAGAGGGAGGGAGGTTAAAGTTACACCAACACATTATTACACCAATGCGACACCAGTTCAATTGAGGGACCTACGGTGCTCCGTTCGTAAAATTGATGGTTCCTACCCCCCTAATCTAGCCCCTAAGCCCCCACC